ATATATACTGATTTGAATTTATCTCAGCACATAGTCGCACGCATAAGTCTCCTTTCATGGTTTTCGCATAAGATGAATTTTGTTGCAGGGAACGTCCGTCTTATCTCCAATAATACCATTTAGCTTCGTGGTAGTGCCAGCCTTTATAATATATAGGAAAAGCGCTCAACACGTCTACGAGAATCATCCAGCCCTGTACATACTTGCATTCGGAATGGTCGCGGCCAAAGTTACCAATAGATTAGTGGTACGTATGCCGAGTCGAACGAACTTCCCAAATAGCACCCGGTGAATTTTTAAAGTATTCCTGAAATCTCCTTCTTTGAGTTCCTTCTTTGAGTTGTAATTCTTTAGGAATTCGTAGAAGAATATTAGAAGTAAGAATGATCCAGGAAGTTACATGTATCATGATTGAAATCCCGGAGAACTTCTTGTATTTACATAGATTATTTCATATCAACGAGGTAGTATACCTTATGAATTGACGAGGAATAGTGTTTATGAGCAGAAACAGGAATATAAAATATCTAATAAACGTCAACTCTGAAAGTAACGTTTCATCAATATTATAATTTCCTGCTCAACGATGTGACTGTTACGTACAATATGTTATATATAACATTTGTACCGTCCAATTATTATTGTCGGAAATTATAATATTGATATAATAACGCTATTGTGTTAATTGATGTTTGGTAGACAACAATTCTCTTCCAACTGAAATAATTAAAATATATTCAGCTTTCAACTACATAAAAGAAGAAAGAAATCATACAGAACAAAGAAAAAATTATATCATACGTGGTGATTCGTAAAGTCATTTATAAAGCTTAAAAATTATAAAGTAGCAATTTGTAGAAATATATGAGCCTAGTTCATATTCTCACGATTCAATGAAACGTCAACATAATGTCACTTTTCATTATATATGTCGCCTATTTTCCAGGTTGCTCACATGACCAAAAATGAAATGCAATATTTAGACAGCTCGCTGATCGGTCCAGCCATGCTGTTCCTCAATCAATATTTCAACTTTTTCATCAACGAGTACTATGTACTTTGGCTGTGTTTCGTAAGTTCGCGAGTTCTCATCTGCAATTTTTTCTCCGCTCGCGAGACGGTCTTCTCCCTCGCGATCTTCGTCTCCCGATCTCTTCTAAGCGATGAAATGTGTGTGTTTATTTAGATCTGGGTTACTCTGGATCTCTTCCGGTACAGTGCTCAAGTGTGTCTCGAAATTTGCGATCACATGAAGATCAAGCTGTTCAGGATATCGGTGTCCGATCATCGCGTACACGCCAGCCAGGCTCCTAACATCGCCGAGAAAAATGGTACTAATAGGTCACAACGTAATAGATTACATAAGAAACATTCTAGAGTTAACTAGTGATAATGAATGTCCTGTATGATTCGCCTGATGTGTTGTTGTTGTTGTGTATAAAAAAGAAGAAGAATCATAACAGAAATGTAACAAAGTATAAAAAAAACATTTGACGAGAGTTTTCTGTATATAGAACACATTGGAATAAGTACAGTTCATTTGTTATCACGTTAATTTATATAATCTATCGTTTTAGACTAGACGTACTCGTGATTATACATATATATGTGACCACACACACATGCGCGCGCGCGCACGCACGCACGCACACACGCACACACACACACATATATATGTATATATACATGAAGCTTTAGTTAAAACGATTAGCGACTATTATGGACATTTTAGTAAGATGTACTACGTCGAAGCAAAAATGCGTCCGACCGTATAACAAGGACGGCGCTTGTTCCATATTTATAAGAAAAAAAGTGATAAATGAATCATAATCTAGTGTTCGCACAGAGATAGAGAGAGAGAGAAAGAGAGAGAGAGGGGACATAATATATGTTTATACATAAGTTTATACGAGGATGTTATGAGTTTAATCTTAACTGCATAAAACTTTTAAGTATCGATGACTTATCGGAGTCTGATACATTACATTCATTGCCGTAGGATACTAATTCTAGCGAGATAGAGATTGTATATCAAACATAAAATCAAAATTTCTTCATCGTTCATAAACGGGTTGTTTGGAAATCGCTGCTTCAGATATCTCAGGTGTGATGTTCTTAAACGGGAGGATCACGATATACTTTTGTTTAAATATATTCGTAAATTATAATTTATATCTCAGTTATTATATATAAATATACACGAGGAATTGAGAGATCACGTCCTTCGTCAAGTATATAATTCATTCATTAAAAACGGATTATTTAGCGTATATGTAAATTTTCTTTCAGCATAGCTTCGAACACGGAATGTGTCATGAATGTTTTCGATATTTTCGCTTTTTGGCGTGTCTGTTTATTTGATAGAGAAACATAATTTTAATGATGATAAGGACAACTGAACCATGTCAGATATATGTCAGGATAAAAAGACTAAAGACAGTTACATGACACTGCAAAATGTAAGATATGTTCGTTTACTTTTACAATCTCGTACGACAGTAGAGAGAGAGAGAGAGAGAGAGAGAGAGAGAGAGAGAGAGAGAGA